CCATTCTAACAAATTTTAAGCATGCAATACTATATGCAGTATTGTGTGCAGAAGTACTTTCAGAATACCTTGATTTAAATCCAAGATTTCTATCTCTACGAACCCTGTCTACTTACATCAGGTATGCTAGGTATTATAACCATGAGCAGTTCACTTGTGTTTATTAGTTTGATGGTTTATGCATCATAAATGTGTAGGATACTTGATTCAAATTATTTTTTTTCCTAAAGTTGAGAGGTTAACCTATGTTTATTTCTGAAGATAATTTCCTTGGTTAGCAATTATAAGATACTTGTATCTGGAATCAAGAAGTCAATTAGATATATGAGGGGTATTGTTTCTCTTCTCCTTTTCATTTAACCAATTATATCACCACCAGTTATGAGAAGGTATTCCCTATTACAAAAAAATTTAGCTTATTTTTCTTTGTTTCTCATTTTCCCCAATATCTAACTGGGTTTATTCCATCATATAAGTTCAGTGTAATCTTTAAGAAAATAAAATTGAATATTCATTTCACTACTCAAATCTTTTAAATTATTTTGTTTCTTTTTAATAAGCTATAAACCCTTAGAATAAACCAAAATCCTCTAATATTTATATAACATAAAGCAAGACTTATCCAATCAGAATCACAAGGACCATAGATATTACTCATAATCAAGCTTCACTAAGATTTTTGAGAATGGAATCATTGTGAGGTAAATCAAAACCAAGCAGAAGACCAGATAAACTCTGAGACTCCCCTGGTCCTTCCTTGGTACACCTGGACACACTTTACCCAAATGTAACCAAGTATAAGGTCTGACAAGTAAGTTTGCCAACTCATCCAAGAAAAAGTGCTTTGAAGAGTAGGCTATGTGATGGCATTGCTAGAATTTATTGAGGATTATGAAATGAGAATTGAGGAATATATTATATTATGGTAAAAAGTGAATTAATACATAGTCCCACATTCTGCCTCTTCAGAACAGAATATCCACTGAAGCTGTGTCCTACTCAGTTCACCACTCATTATTAGGAAGTAATCCTTCAAATTTCAGAAGTGAAAATTGATTTGTCTCAAGCTAAGTTCTTCAGCTTAATTTTCTGTGGTCAGTCATGTTTATGATGGTCCATATCACATGACTTATCATTAAATATTCCCCAACTTAGATCTGTACAAAACAGTTGTCTATATTTTAGAAATAAATTTAAATCATTTTATTAAAAATTTTTGTGCCATTTTAAGAAAAATCTCACATAATCCGCAGAAAGTATCCTATCACTACACCATTGAAATTCTCATTTTAAATTTGTTCTGCAATATTCAAGCCTACTATAGACATGTTTTTAATTTTCACTTTTTTGGTGAAAGTAACAATTATTTTTATATTTCATGTATGTATGTATGTGTGTATGTATTTATTGTTTTGTTTATTTATTTGGAGACATAGGCTCACTCTGTCACCCTTGGTAGAGAGCCATGGCATGATCGTAGCTCACAGCAACCTCAAACTCTTGGGCTCAAGCCATTCTCTTGCCTCAGCCACTCAAGTAGCTGGTACTACAGTTGCCCACCACAACTCTCAGCTAATTTGTCTATCTTTAGTAGAGCAGGGTCTCATTCTTGCTCAGGCTGGTCTTGAACTCCTGAGCTCTAGCAATCTATCCACCTGGGCCTCTCAGAGTGCTAAGATTTTAGGTGTGAGTCACTGCTCTCAGTCTAACAAAAAAATCTTTTACACAAAACCCAAAACCAGTAGATTCTCTTACATCACCTCAGGACTGTTAAAAACTGATGTTTTGTGGTATATTTCATAGGTTTTAAAAAGAAACAGTATAGATTGTTTATATATATTATATACACACACATACATACATAGATGTTACCGAACATTGATCTCTTGGGAAGATTTTTTTTTTTTATTTTTGGTTTGTAATTTCAAAAAATTCCCTTGTGTCTTTGTTGAGCAAAAAGAGAAAATTGTAACTGTAAGTTAATTAGGATCATGAGGTATATTAAATTTCTGTACTTAAAGGCTGTTCTTTTACTTAGGTTTTAAACTTTGGTATAACTCATTCTGTTAAACATTGATTAAAACTTTTAGAAAATTTATCAGACTTCAAAGAACGATAGAGAGACATTAGGATTTGTTAGTGTCTGAATCCTTAGATGTGTAGTGGATGTGAACTTAAGTAAAAGTAGAACATATTTTGAAACACAAATAAGCTTGCATTTCATCTTTATTTAAACCACATCACTTTAATAATTGAATAATGTCTTAAAATGATTATAACCATACTAAATGTAGCCTTCACCATGTGCCACTGTAACAGAAAAATAAATTCAATGTACCCTGTATAAGGTAAGATAATTTTTAACTGATCTTTCTTTGAAACAGAAGTTAGGAAAAACTTTGGATATCCAAGTCAAGAAATTAAATTTATTCTTAAATTGTCTTGTTTGATTAATTTTTTAGGATGAAGAAGTGAAAATACTTAAGTATGTATACACATACATACATAAAATGTAGTAGCATGCATTTTTTGATATACAAATGGGTTTTTTATTCATTTTCTGAATCTATTTCCATAATCTTTGGGATGAATCATGAAGACAAAATTAAATACTAGCTATTTTTCACTCTATTTGTTTATTTTTAGTTATTTTCGCTATGTAATAGTTGTATATCTTTAGAGTATCCATGTAATGATTTGATGCAGGAATATGGTTTGAATTTTAAGAAAATCAAAAAAACACATTTATACTTAGGTACTTAGGTCAAGGTTAAAGGTAGTTATTGTGTTTAGCAAAACTAAGATTGTGATCAACAGAACAATGAGAAAAGAAATTATCTCATTAATAGTGATATTTAGTCTGTTATATCATGAACTTTCCATAACATCCAAGAAAATTCTACATTTTTACTACATTATACATATATTATTGTAAGTCAATTATACATTATAATAATATAAATTCATATACATTACATGGAATGATTAATGAAAACCCCAAGAAATAAAAATATAGAAATATTTTACGTAGTAGGAATAATAATGCATGAATTAACATACTATTCACCAAGGTTATACAAATTAAGATTGGTAGAAAACAATCAGATATGTTTAAAACAAAAATTAGGGATTCAGTAGCTTTAAAAAGAATATGTGTAAATAAAATAATACCAAGTTATCTAGAAACCCAGAGAAATATATATATATATTTTTTTTTTATTAAATGATAGCTGTATACATTAATGCAAACATGGGGTACAGTGTAGTGTTTTCATATACATTCTGAAATACTTTCATCAAGCTGGTTCACATAAATTTCATGTCATTTGCATAGTCATTGTGTCAAAACATTTACATTCTAGTTCTAGAAAAGTTCACTTGTGCCCTTGTTAGACAGAAATATAGGTGAGAAATATATTTTAAAAATTTTAATCAAAAAAAAAATATCACTTGTTGTCGTGAACCAGAGTGGTATGGGTGAGGAATGAAGAAAATACAGCACAAGAAAAGACAAAAGATGGGATTGGGAGGGCTGACTGAGCTGATGGCTGCAGGTAGCACCAAATCACAAAATCAGCTTTACTTTATAGCATCTGTATAGAGTTGTCATGGGCAAGTAGCATAGACAATATGGGGAAATAGCATAAATAAAAACATAATTTTGGACTTACATTACAATAGGAAAACATAAATGACTTTAATAAAGACAAATCATCTTGTTAATGGTTTCTACTCAACTTTGTGAACATATGACAAAAAGTAAGAAGGGAAAGATCATGAGGAGCTCAGTATAGTTGACAAAACAGAGGAAGAACTATATGACTCAGTGATTTCTACTCAAGAAACATATGATCAGAAGCAACAAGGCAAAGTTCATAAGACTCTCTGCACAGTTAAATATCAAAGGAAGAGCTACAGAACTTGTGGTGGAGGGAGCATGAGGAGAGGAAAATGGCTATGTTGGGAATAGAGGAGAAGCAGATGGGGGTTCATTCCCTGAATGTACCCTATGTTGTGGGGGCCCTGCTGTCTCACATCCTGTTCTCTACAACTTGTGTGGAATTTTTCATATCATGACTAGTATATTAAAAAGAGTAATACAAAAATTAAATAAAGCTCTTTGAAGAATGATTGCTTGGAAATTCTGAAAATTGAACAAGACAAAGAGCTTATTTTCTAGTGTGTGTAAATAAATGATTTTATAAAGAAATTATAAACACTAACTATGGAAAATTGCAATATCAATAACAAGAACTGCAACTAGTGCTCAAATCATTTCATATGTACTTAAAATCAAAAGATTTAGCATCTTAGTATATTTGTACAAGAAAGAAATTTGAGACAATTGTAAGTGTATTGAAGAACAAAGGAAGATAAAATATATGAGGGCTAATTTTTGTTTTTCTGTATTTGTTTGTTTTATTTCTACCATATAGAATTGAGGCATTGTTAATGGCTTATGGGAATGTTATTTATTTTAGTGTTAATCTAATGCAGTTGAAAAGTATACAAATAGTCAGATGGATTAAAAAAAACTAAAGGAAAATGAGCAAAAAAGTTAAAAAATATATATAAAATAGAACTTATAAGGAATGAATTAATACCATGTATAACAAATTACTTGAGGTATTAGCTAAATTCAGAAATTAAAATATATTAAATATTTAACAACCAATTTGGATAAAGTGTTTGAAAGCTGGATCATAGATTGCCACAAATCAAATTAGAGAAATTTCATTTTAACAAACTGATGAGCCTCCTATAATACACTAAGTAGGAATTCCTCAACTCTGGACAAGAGAACCTCAGCACTCCCATAAACATGAGTGAACAGGAGGACAAGCTCAATTGAATGAACTTGAAGTTGCTTTGTAAAACATTTGAACACATGTAAGTTTTTGAATATGGAACTTTCTGCAGCTGAGAATGAAAATGATACCTTTTCTGACTTGTGACATTAGGTTTTGTTTTCTGTAGATTTGGAGAGAAAAAGAAAAAAAATGAAGAACCAATCAATGGACATGGAGTTCATTCTGCTTGGACTGACAGATGACCCTCTGCTACAAATTGTGATTTTCCTTTTTCTGTTTTTTAATTATATCTTGAGTCTGATGGGGAACTCAATCATCATCCTTCTCACTCTGCTCTATCCCAATCTCAAGACACCAATGTATTTCTTCCTTCGGAATTTCTCCTTCTTAGAAATTTCATTCACAACAGCCTGCATCCCACGATTCTTGATAAGTATTATGACTGGAAACAAAACAATTTCCTATAATGGTTGTGCAACTCAGTTATTCTTTTTTTTTTTATTAGGAGTCACAGAATTTTACCTTCTGGCTGCCATGTCCTATGACCGCTATGTCGCTATCTGCAAGCCCCTGCATTATCCAATCATTATGAGTCCCAAAGCATGCTACCAGCTTGTCCTCAGCTCTTGGGTAACTGGATTCCTAGTCATCTTTCCCCCTTTGGTCTTGGGACTCAAGCTGGATTTCTGTTCTTCCAGGACTATTGATCACTTTTTATGTGACTCTTCTCCCATTCTGCAGATCTCTTGCACAGATACACATATCATAGAATTGATGACATTTATCTTGGCTGTGCTGACACTTGTCATCACATTGTTGTTAATAGTACTCTCCTATACATGCATCATCAAGACCATTCTAAAATTCCCATCTGCTCAACAACGAACAAAGGCCTTTTCCACTTGTTCCTCACACATGGTGGTTGTCTCTATTACTTATGGGAGTTGTATCTGTATGTATATGAAGCCATCAGCAAAGGAAAGGGTGACCTTAACTAAAGGAGTAGCTGTGCTCAATACCTCTGTTGCCCCTTTACTCAACCCCTTCATTTACACCCTAAGGAACCAGCAGGTGAAAAAAGCTCTCAAAGTTATGCTTCAGAGATTTTGTTATTGTCAAGACAAAGACACAACATTTGGATATAAATAACGTGCTATTGGAATGTAGATGCAAAAATTGAATACAGTCTTCAGTTATATTAGTTCAAATCCACTTGGGTATTTTTATATCTTATTAGGTTTACTAAATCTCCTCTATACTCTTCAGCCTTCTATGTTCTTCTCTTATGAGTACATATTTCTACTTTATAGCAATTAACTGCCTTCTTCAATCCAAAATGTTAAATTCTGTCTTTGCCTAGAAATATCTCTTTTCATAAATGACAGTTGTATGCACTAAATGCTTGGAACAAGTGAACCTTGCTAGATATAGTTACATGAAATATTTCAATATGTGTGTTAATTAATAAGTGTTGCATCTGCTCTTAAGTATTTTGCTTGGCTGGAACTGTCAGTGATGAACATATAACCTCATAATTATTATATGTAATGTAATAGATGCTATGACAGAAAAGAGGTAGAAAATCTTAATTTTAAATATCAAAGTAACCTTTCAAGAGAATTAACCTCTTATTGTGCTTATATAGTGCTTATTACAAGTGTGTTGTCATCAGATGTATGAAATATGCAAATAAATTAGAACCTACAGAATAGATTTCACTTGAAGAGTTGCACGAGATAAGGCATTGAGTCTAATTACTTGTATTTATTCTACCGTCTCTGAAGCCTGTTAGCATTAATATTCCATAAAAGAAATTAAAGGCATAATTTACTTATACAACTGGGTTTGGGAATCATCACATATATTTATGTAATGATTATGTAATGATTTAGGTAATAATAATATTTAAAATAATTTTAAATTAAAAGACTGCTAATCAATTCCACTTGTCAATTTTCACCAAATTAATTAAGTATATCTGACATACGATAGCACACAATCATTTTAAAACAATGCATTTGGGCAAATATTCACACTCCTGTAACAATAAAAGTAGAGAACATTTACATCTTCCTAAATAGTCTTCCTATCCTCTTTCCAGTTACTCTTCTATCCCAACCCCACCTCCATCTGGTTTTTTTAGCCTTCTTATTCAATTTAGCTCCCTTATATATGAAGTTTCTGACCATTATAGATGCTTTTAGCCACCACATGTTAATTTCAGATTTTCTGAAATTTCTGATAGGAGAAAGCACATTGTGTGAAATGTATGTCTGGCTGATTTTGTTCAGCATAGTATTTTTGAGGTTCACTCATGTTATTTCCTGTATCCATAGTTCATTCCTTTTGGTGATATGATTTAGCAGAATATCTAATGTCCATTTGTCATACCCAACTTTCTCTCCCTTATTCCTTATTTCTCTTCCTTATTCCTTCAGTCTCTGAGGAATATCTTCACATAACTCAATCATTTACTTTGATCAGTGTGAAAAGCGATTACATTCCATATACTGAGATGCTAGTCCCTAAAGGCCTCTATCCTCCTATAACATTCTTTAAAAATATTCTGTCTGATGAAAGGGAATTAATTTGAAGGGGTGGTTCTACTATACCTTGGTGACTCTACTCCAAGGCAATGATGGCTCAGAAATGGTACCTAGAGGGAAAGTGGAAGGACACACATGAATAAACTCATTCACTATTTGTTCATTTTAGAGGACCATTACAGGCCCAAATTAAATCCTACTCTTTTTATGTCGCAGGCTCCAAGAATCAACATTATTTTGAAGAACTAGAGGAGTAAAAGTTTGAGCAGTAGAGAGACCGTTGAGGAAAATAACATTAGAGATTTCAGATTTAAGCCTGAAAAAAATGGTTCAGAAAAACTTAGTCAGTGGGAAATGACAGTGACTTTCAGTAATTCTGGGAAAGTGCTCACCAATACTCTTAGCAGGAGAACGGGCAGTTCTCATATAATTAATGAGAAGTTCCTATGGATCTCACTTTGCTTTCCAAACTGATCACAAACACCTCTGGAGAATAATGGCCTCTGTATCTCTTCCGCTTTCCAAATTTTGCATTGGATGTTGGCATTGACAAACTTTAAATTAGAACCACACTAAGAAGGGGACTCTGAGACAAGGACTCCCAGTTAAGGCTCTGCACTTAAGAGACAACTAAGGTCATATGTTATGTTGAGTTGGCAACAAAGGATTCAATGCAGATTCCTTCCTTCCTTCCTTGCCATACTTTGTCACCCTCAGTAGAGTGTGGTGGTATCATAGCTCACAACAATCTCAAAATCATGGGCTCAAGTGATCCTCTTTCCTCAGCCTCCCAAGTAGCTGGGACTACAGGTGCCTGTCACAATGCCCATCCAGACAGTGTTTTCTGTTTTTAATAGAGATGGGGTTTCATTCTTGCTCAGTCTGGTCTTGAACTCCTGGGCTCAAGCAATCCACCAGCCTTGGCATCTCAGAGTGCTAAGATTATACATGTGAGCCACTATGCTCAGGCCCAGATTCTTTTAAAATTAATACATGGTCACAGAAATTGCAATACATCGCTTCCATCACTGGCTGTACCCTAAAGAGTGATGTGGTTGTTAGGGACAGCTTAGGAGAACTGAGATGCATTTTTTTAACCTTCTTATTCAATTTAGCCCCCTTATATATGAAGTTTCTGACCATTATCGATGCTTAAATACATGAAATCCATTCATGTTATTTGAACCTGGTTAGAAAGCATGGTTCTACAGGGCAAAGTTAATGGGGTTCTGGTGAAGAAAAGAATAGGTGGTATAAAAGCAAAAAAATATATAGGAAAACATATTATTACTAAAGTTATTTAATTTTCCCATGAAGCATTCTTTTCACCATTAAGTTAACTTTATCTGCATAAAATGTTTGACTTTATAACTAACTTAAGAAAAGTTGACTCAAACTGTTTGCAATTTGACAAAAATTCTGTTTCTAGAATATCTCAGATTCTCTTCTGAAGACCTTTATCTGTGTGTTAGGTTACTGCGAAATGCAATTGTGTGTAATATTTGTTTTATCTTTCCAAATATCATATTGATCATTTAATTTATTCTTTTTTTCTTGCCTCAACTTCCTTGCATGTAACTTATCCTTTACATGTGAACTCTATTTGGTTGTTTCAAAAATCTAATATGTAGGTAAATTTATTAATCATTTAATATAGGTCAAAGAGTATAATTTCTTCTTTTCCCTTTGTATTCAAAAATAATTATCAATACCTTTTCAAAACACAGAAGCATATTCATGTTTAACTCCTTAGAATGCAGAGCACCTTTTCCCCCTCTGGTTCTATAGTTTGTAAATGGATAATGGCAAATGCAAAAGAAAGACACTCTAGGTGTAAGCTATCATGAGAAATGATTAGTTGATGTAATTTTTCACTCATTTAAAGTAAATCATCAGTAATCTGGTGTTGTGTGATGTTCTTTCTCGCAAGGAGAGAAGGACAGCTTGGCCGCGGGTGCAAGCTCGCTCCTAGAATTGTTTGAAAGGAAGAAACGACTACACACTCTTAGGTGGCATGTAGCAAAATGTCTTTATTTTCTACTCCCTTTTATCCAGAGCTAGTCAGGTACACCACATTGATCAATAATCCTAACATCCTCATTTCTTATCTTAAACTATAGAAAAGAAAGAAAGAAAGTCCAGGAACGTGAGATAGCCATCATAAGATTAGCCTAAAGAAAGAAAGTCCGGGAAAGTAAGACGACCATCTTGAGCTAGCCTCAGGCTATTGCTCTTGGAAGATCTAGAAGAACAATACATTATCTGACTTGTATTGTTGAAGTTAAAGGTTAGGATAAACAGAGGAGTAAAACCTTTCTCTTCTATGTACTCAATTAAATTTCCGAGAAACTGGCTTCATGACTGTTTTCTTATGGTTTTGGAGACCCTGCTGTTACGATGGAGTATTTTACTCAACATCATTACGATGGAGTTTTTCTTTTTACTCACATCAACCTTTGAGTCATGTCCTCTGCACAGATGGGCCATTTCAACCCTTATCTGACAGGCTGACTTGACTGCACAGTCGGGGTTACCTGCAAGAGGTTTTTACGCCTGGTTTGCAGGCCCCCACCATGTTTTCCCAGGTCGCTTAGGGCCTCAACAAAAGCACATAATACTCACAAGTCTTTTCGCTCAGTTCTGGAATTAAAAGAGCACATCTCATTTAAATTTTGTGGGGGTTTACCCCACAATCTGGTTAACTGTGTAATACCAGCAGGGTGCATTATAAGAACTTTCAATTCTGAAACTCTGCTAGCCTTAAACTTCCTTTTGTATTCCTATGTATTCATTCCTGGTCTTTCTTCTCCTAAACTGAAAGAGAAAAAATAACTAATTTTGTATTTTACTAATGTACACTACTTGGTAGGACAAGCTAGACTCAAGGTATGTATATTAATTGTCTGAAGTAGCCTTCCAGTCTTTGATCTATAACTCATTCTCCACATTTGTGTGAAAAACACTTTCTAAAATATAAATGAATCATGACACTATTCTGCTAAGAAATTTTTGATGATTTTCTCTTGCTTCCAAAATAATATCAAGCCCCTCAAATATTTACGTAATTCTCTTGTGAGTCTTCAATGGTAGTAATAAGCTCAGAAGTATTACTAAGGCTAAAAAGATGCCTTAGATTTATTATTTGCTGGCTTTTTTTTTTTTGCAGTTTTTGACTGGGGCTGGGTTTGAAAACGCCATCTCTGGCATATGGGGCCAATACCCTACTCCTTTGATCCTTTGAGCCACAGGCGCTGCCCAGATTTATTGTTAATGAGGAGGATACTTCATGGTTTTCTACTTGGTCCTGAGTATATCTTTTTTGAATATATCTTTCTAAATATATGCACAGGGAAATTTTGCACATGGACTAGCATCACTGAAATACAAATTAGCACATATTGATGACTTTTCAATAAATCTTCTTCCAACCTAATTATCTTCCACTATTTTAAGTGAACACTCTGGTATTCTATAGACATTGTAATTAAAATTTGCTCAGCAATTAAGTCAAACAATTCCTGAAACACCATATTTCTCTATCTTCACTGGACAGTTTTCCTGGGAAAGCACCACACATGCTCTGAGGAAGACCAGAAGGAAATTGAGGTATTAATATCAGTGTATGACCCCTCCTCAAAAGGATTATCCTTTCTTTGTGGGTTCTGGTTCTAGGAAATGGCTGAAATTTGTAATTAGATCAGAAACTCTAACTTCATTATAGTGGTGGAATCATTCTTTCAGTGTCCTACACTTCTTTCAATTATATGGACCAATTAGGACCTTAATGGGCTTCCTGTTGATTTTAGTCCTAGGAGTTGGTTAGTTACTTCTAAAGTGTATTAGAGCTAACCACTGTATTAGCAGTGTATTAATCAGTGTATTAGTTCAGTAACCACTTTAGCTCTACTAACCAATCAGTAACCACACCCAACTTGCCATCATCAGTCAGGTGCTATAACAAAACTTCTGCCTTCCCATGATCCATCATCTCCAAGAAAATCAGGGAACTTATTTCAGAAAGGCTTCATTTCAGAATAGTGGTTACAACACTTTTTAAAGTTGCTTGCAAACCCCTTTGTGTATATGAATATGTCAAAATTTCAGAGAAGGCATTTTCCTGTGGGATTTCTCTAGTTACATAGTAAAGGGACAAGTAAGTGAGTTGTATATGATAAAACTGCTTCATGTCACCATTACCCTACATCTTTAGATTTATTTTTCTTCATTAAAGAAAGTATTTTGGCCAATTCTTCAATTAGGATAAATATTCATGAGCCCAAGTTATAGTTACTGAATAGAACAAAAAAAACAGCCTCCATCAAAAGTTTGTTTTTCCATTAAATCCACAATCACTAGAAATATATTAATAAACTCATCCAGATGTAAAGTTAGATTTACTTTCTCTTTGGACTATTACCCTAAGAGTCTCTTGTCCATATATTTCCTAGGCATTTGTCAGTATAAATTTGTAAATTATTACTAAATACATTTAGGACAGTCAGAGAAATACCATGGTTTGCTGTCTATAAGTCAAACTAGTAACTTAAAGCCACAAATTTGTCATATTCCTTCTTTAAGATCCTCAGTGTGGCTGGAAATTGCCTTCCCTCATTACAGCGTGTGTTGTGTTTGTCTTCCACGTATTTATCATATTGCTCTCTATACCCTCCGTTCAGTTTGAGGAAGGCCATCTTTCAATATAAGCTTTTCTCAAGTGATTTTTGGATGGATGCCATAGATTCATAATATTCTATCATTCTTGGTCATAGCACTGGCTTTAGTAACTAATTCCAAATTCCCCTGCTTCAGACTCAGTTTCATGCAACAATGTGGGAGGTGCAATTCTCCCTGGTGTTTCCACACATCCTGTATTAGCCCTTGATCTGTACTATTTTTACAAAGTGTTTTATATATCTATCCTTCAGTTTTGAAAGATAGAAATAATGTTTCCCTTAAGGGCAGAAAGGGTATTGTTTTTTCTCATTAGGATTATTAAAAAAAAATCTCCCAATGTGGCAAGGTTGGGCAAATTTTCTAAAATAGTGGAGGTTTACAAAGCTCAGGGATTTTCAGCTGGAATGTGAAATGGAATGTGTCTGCAACATCCACATGGGCCCTCTCTGCAATGTTCCTCCTGGAGAAGGGGAGGCAAGGGGAACTGATGCAAATGCAGAGCTCATGGCACCTGCTGTGCCCTGAGTCATAACATCTACTATGTCTGGCCCAAGAGATCCAGGCCTTTTGGCAGCATCTGTGAATCTGTGTCTGGCTAACGTATTGAACAGCTTCCCGTTCTTGATAATTTTGGAGAAGAGATATGGGAACAGAGATGATTTTCAGAAAGATGAAGGCATGAGAGTATTCTGTGGGGAAGGTCAGAGATATAAAGGACTCCCCAGATTCCAGTAAATTTTTATGCCCAATTGGTAAGTGAGGAGTTTCAGAGTTCCCCAATATTTTACCTGTTAACAAGATGGAGCGCCAGGAGGTGGGGTTGGAACTGGCCACCTGAGAGTACGTTTAGTTGTTACTCCTTACAATGTAAGAAGAAGGATCATAAATACCCCAAACCTGGTAGAGTGCTTTGGAAGTTATGAAAACATAATTTATTTGACCTACAAGCAGACATTTGGCTGTTTATAAAGAAAATAAATGAGTTAGGGATTTTCAGTTATGACTCAGATTAGTAAAGCTCTACTGTGTCATGCTGAATTCCTGTACTGATTTCCCTGGAGATAAAGTTTAGGGTTGTTTATTTTAAATAAATATTTTGGTAAATAATATTCCTGGATCTCATATTCTCCTGTTAATTTTTCATAATCTTCGGGCATTTTCCCTCAGGGAACAGAAAGCATAAAAACTCCATGGGATTAAGCATTATTGATGTTATATGGAACTGTGGGTAATACTAATAAGACAAGGATTCAATAACAAATACACAAATTATAATAGAAGAGAAAGTTAATACACTGACTGCAATGAAATAGCTAATCAAAGCATAGGTGAGAGAAACACTCACGGATTGTGGACTAGAGTGAGATTCATTCAGTAGTATTAGGGCATCATCATGGTGCTTGGTTCAAGCACAGATGATTGTGACAGAATAAATCTGTGTGGATTTGTTTTAAAGGGTTTTTTTTTGTTTTTAACATAAATGTTCATATTTTGAAGGTTTTTTTGGCAGATTGCCTTAGTACTTAAAAAGATAAAAAGAATTAATATTTAACAAAATAAAAGGTTATGTGCCTTGTCGAATATATTGTAACTCATGTTTGTTCTATTTTTACCATCAAAATATTAACCTTTCTTTTTCCAACTTCTAAAATTTTGATTTCGGGAAAATGATGAAAAAAGACAAATGGAAGTTGATAGTAATTTAGAATAGAAATGGTTTTTCATTTTAAAAACTTTCTGATATTCACAATACCTAACACAAGTAAACAAAGTTGCATCAGAAACCTAATTTCCAATGGCTTCATAATGTAAAGCTTATTATTTTTACAGTGCATGTTAGGACAGTTGATGTGCATGACTTTTGAAGTTGGAAAAGACATGATTTGACGTGACAAAATTCTAGATTTCTACAGTGGTTGCCATTGAGGAAATTTGTTTAAATCTAGAATATTTTGTGACAGATTGCTCTACAAGTATCTCAATGTGAAAGTAATGTCCAGGGAAAAGTGATAGTCATTTCTTTTCAGTTATGATGTCTATATTATTAACATATGGCTCTTACAGCAAAACTCTATTTCTTGTTTGTAATGAAGCCAGGCGTGCGCCCTTCAGTCTGTTTCTGTTCAGGATGTTTCTTCTCTGAGGAACACCTTGTCTCGTTTCTTCATCTCCTTCTAAGACCATCTTAAAATCCAAATTTCTTCCTGTAAACTTCTCTAGAAATTACTGGAAACTTTTTTTGTTTTTATGTGTTAATTATTTGTTTGTAAATGGACATTCTTCCTTCCAGGTATGGTTTAGAGGTGGTACATGTTGCCTTAATATCATCATAAACTTTGCCTTATACGGACAAAGCTATGCATACCCCAAATACAATTATTTTATCTGTTTGAGGATGAAAATACCCATGAAGAAAATTTCCCTTAAAGATATCATTAACCTTTTTTTTCTTAAGAAATGCATTATATTCTGCCATAAAATTGCTGGTGGAAAATATTGCACCTTTAAGAAAATAACTTGGAAAAACATGGTTTTTTTAGTTTCAATCCCCAATCTCCTCTAGCTGTGCAAATCAACAAACTTCTTTCTTAATCTCACCATCTCTGTTAATATATGCTGAATTTAAAAATTATTATGTATAAGAACATCTCTTTAATTGCATATTAACTACATATTTGAATATCACATATATGGGTTTGCTATTCCATATATAAGAATATATATAGGAAAGAAGATAAAGGGAAATCTATGGTTCCTAAAATTTGTATCAGTACTATTCTGTGACTCATTATGCATTTGAATTTGTCAAGTGCTCCACTTCTTTATTTAGGCCACACTGAAGTCAAGATTATTCATGTTTCAATCTCTGTTGCAGATAAAGAACAAAAAATGTTAAGTAGAAGGAATTATCAGCAGAGGAGAAAACTTAATTAATAAACAATTTCCTCCTTATAATTTTTATAAATTTACATATTTTAAACTTTTTTTTTCTGTAGTTATCCTACATCTAACATCCTTCTTAGGTTTCCATATAGCGCTGTCTTTACTTTTTCCATTCCCTACAATTTCTAAACCCATATTTACGTATTTCTCTCTGCTTCTATATTCTTATATCTCACGTTTCCCCTTACCTGGTCCATTCTCCAAACCATAACCTCAGAGGAAAATTGCAGTGGCTTGTTACATGTGCTGACACGATCAGACTGTTCCTGCTAATTTACTATTAGAACATAGTGTGAGCAGCCATGAGGGTAACTTCAGAGATCAAGGTGACAGAAATACTGATAGAAAAGGAATATGAAATGAAATTATTCCCTATGCTTTAATTTCACTTATCTAAAATTCGATCTCTTTGACATGGCAATAAATGAGGTAAGAATGAGGCATTTGGATTTTATTAGTTGACTAAAATTGTAAAGATGTACCAGCCCTGGTTATTGATGATAGCTAGAGGTGTATGTGTGTGTGTGCGTACGACATAATTTATTCACATAAAAGTGATGAACCATTAATACCAAATATATAGATTGCTCCCTGGTAGTAAAGTTTTAATTCTCTATCACAATACTAAGGAAATACGAACTATTATTCTTCCTATATAACCTTCTTTAAAAGGTGAATGAACATGATATCACTCTATCTGAAACGGCACTTTGCTAATTTTAGCTTAGCCACTAATTATTGCTGTTATTTTTACTTAGAAATTATTATTTCTTTTTCTCTTCAGAACTGGTAAAATTCAGAGGACCACAATGGGAAACCGTACAAAAGTGACAGTGTTCATTCTAGCGGGTTTGACGGATAACCCAGAGTTGAAGGTTGTGTTGTTTGTCTTCCTGCTTCTCACCTATGTGCTAAGCGTCACTGGCAATCTGACCATCATCATGCTTACCCTCGTGGATACTCATCTTAAGACTCCCATGTATTTTTTCCTTAGAAATTTTTCCTTCTTAGAAATTTCCTATACTACAACATGCATTCCTAAATTGCTAGTTACTATGGCAACTGGGGACAAAACCATTTCCTATAACAGTTGTGTCACGCAAGTGTTTTTCGCCTTCCTACTTGGAGCGTCTGAATTTTACTTGCTGGCTGCCATGTCCTATGACCGCTATGTTGCCATCTGTAAGCCCCTGCATTACACGACCATCATGAGCAGCAAAATCTGCACACAGCTTGTCCTCAGTTGTTGGCTTGCTGGATTTTTTGTCATCTTTCCACCCCTTCTCTTGGGCCTAAATCTTGACTTCTGTGCCTCCAACATTGTTGATCATTTCTACTGTGACACTACCCCTCTCCTGCAGATCTCCTGCACGGACACACAGCTCCTCGAGAGGATGGGATTTGTCTCTGCCTTAGTGACACTCTTGGTCACACTGATAATGGTGATAATATCATATACTTATATTGCACTGACAATTTTAAAAATCCCTTCAACTAGTCAGAGGAAAAAGGCTTTTTCCACATGTTCTTCTCACATGATTGTGATATCCCTTTCTTATGGCAGCTGCATCTTTATGTACGTTAAACCATCGGTCAAACAAAGAATATCATTTTCAAAAGGAATTTCGGTGCTCAATACCTCTGTGGCTCCAATTTTGAACCCTTTCATTTACACCTTAACAAACCAACAGGTGAAAAGAGCCTTTGTGAATACCATAGACAGGGTTATCTTATCTCTTTCTCAAAGAAATGAACATTCTTTTGCATGCTATAAAATAAGTGAATAAAGAACTCTCAAATGTTATCAATGTATTCAGTAGTAGCCTCTAAGACATAATTTCTTTCTTTGCTTTGCTTTGATAGTTATCTTTGTGTTTTTTCAAACTTTATTTTTTTCCAAAATCTTTGGGCTAATGAACATGATTTTCTTTCTATTCTTTATTAAAAGTAGTTTTTCTTCTCTTACTTCCTTTCCTCTAGATACTGAAAAAACTTGAGCTAAGTTTTTTAATATGTGTATTTTGTCTTTAAGATTTCCATTTATTACAGACTATAAAATATAGTTTTGTTTAAATTACATTTAATGTATCACACAGTGCAGATGTTATTATACTTTTCTTTATTTGTGATCAGTTAAAACAAACTTAAAAACTTATAGTTATTTAAAATTTTGGCACATTGCCAATTTATTGGTAGCTATTCTATTTCAAAAAATTAGAAGAGAATTGTAATTAGTTCTTAACATTGATGCCCATCTTTAAAAATTAATATGTATGTGAGTTCCTTTAAAGTATATTGTGTGGAACTAGTTATTTACTTTCCATTTAAAAGAAGTTATATTTACAAAAGTTACACTATGGTTAAAAAGATATCTTATTGGTTTGTTTTTTAAATTAGTAATGAAATACAACATTTAATTGAAATTTTTATACCCCTCAAGAAACCCTTTAATTCTCTTCGAATATTCTTTAGCTAATTGGAAATGACTTGTGAATGATTATTAAACAAGATCAATGCTAACTCAACATATTTTTTTCAGAAATTGTTTGCCTAATATACATTAGATTTATATATGTGAATAGCATACATGGACTAATTGACATAAATATACACATATACATACATAGATATCCCTTTTATTAGTGAAACCGGGATAGTAGAAGAATAAAATACTTAAGAGATTTTCTAGCTTTAGGTAAGAATCTATTAGTAATTAATTTCTATGTGATGATCAGAACTTAAAAAAATAAAAATAGAAAATATTTTCACAGGGACATATCTTATTTCATGAATTTTTTCATAAATATGTTTGTATTAGGCAATTTTTTTTCTATATCATTTCATTTTTTAAAAGAATAGTCAGACTTTAAACTCAGGAAGGCTTTCTCCTTATTGCAATTGAGGACTTTGGTATCTTTTATCTTTTATCTTAAGACCCAACTCCAGTCATTCCCAACCTGTCTGTTGGAGAACATTAGTTATCATTGCATATTGAGCACCCCCGGGGTGGAGACTAAAGAATATCCATAGTATTATTTTCCCCCATTTGTAAGTGTCCCTGCCATAAGTTCCCATAGTCTTTTGCCTCCTAATACATTATGTTAATACCATTCTTAAGAACATTATCTGTCTTCAGAATGCAGAATTAATCATTCAATTTTGGGCCCAACTTTATTCATAACATTTTATTTTTAGAGTCATTCAATGTCATCTATCCTATAAAAGGCATGCTAATTTTCCAGTTGGTCTAGCCATAAACTAGTTATTTGGAATTAATTTTTTCCAAAATCAATTCTAATACATATGTACTTCTTTACCTGATTATGTATGAAGACATGTTTGTTGATCTATCACATTAATCTTTCAGATTTTATTATTGTAATCAGTTTACCCATGATTAGAAAACCTTTATTTGTTATTCAAAAAAAAATATCAAAACTTGCATGCTTTGTATCAAAAAATATATCTCAAATTTTGGTCATTTAACATTAATATAAAAATACCTTCCCTTCCACATAAAAATACTAATAAAATTTTTAGTGGAAATATACAATATCTTGTTAATTTGAAGGAAAAATGGGGACTGAAGACCCCATTTGTGGCAAAGGAAAATACCTCCAGAAAAGGGGAAGAATAGAGAAATAAACTGAGCAACGCAGAATAAAAACAATTTAGCTAGCTTACTTTCAAAATAATAGTTGAAATTATATCTGGGCAGTTTCTGCTTTTCCTGGAAGCCTGGCCTGTAAGGAATACAGCTTATAAACACCCCTGTTGGGTCTGTAAGCACTTTGAAGAACAATGACTACAGCAGAAGCTGCTTGCAAGGCCTGGGAAGGAATATTAACCAGGCAACAGTTAACAAACAACCTTCTAGAAGCAAATACCCATGTGAGGATTTGTATAATGGCCAGGGCACAAATCAAGGGAATAGCTCCAGCCCTGAGATATGGGCAGGAGGGCTTGTACCCTAACCACAGAGGGAAACACCTTCTGTTATAATGCAAGAAAAGACTATGTAGCCAATTTCAAAGTGTCTGAATGGAGTCTGTTTTTTTTTTTTTTTTTTTTTTCCCTTTTTTTTTTTTTTTTTTTTTTTTTTTTGGGTGGAGTCTTTATTTAGCGGACTGGTGGCTGTCTTCTCAAGTCTCAGAGAGATCAGGGGAGAGCATCCCATCCAGGTTTGAAGCAGAGTTCTTATAGGGCTAATTGATGCAGCAAGCAGACCATCGGATTTCACAACCAGCATGTACAGAAGCAGATTTATGGTGCTTGCAGTTACTTGGTTAAGCAAAATAATAGCTAGACACAAAATATTTTTTACATCAATGGGATTACCATGACTTTATCCTGCCTGTGTGTATTCCATGAAGTCAGCAAGGCTTTATCTTGTGTGTTCCGAAGTCCTCATTCTTCCTCTCTTTGTTTCTTGTAGGGAAGGGGAAGATGGGGGGAAAACTCTGGAGCCTCATGCAGGTATCAAGCTCTTCTCCCACCTAAGTACCATCTCATTCCCTACTCCTATTATCTTGGGAAATCAAATCTTTGTTTTTTCTTCATCCTGACATAGGTACTGATGAGTTTTACTGCTTGCACTCATTTTTGGATGTATGAAATGAGGGCTTTAATAACATTAATAATGCATGGTCCTATTGTCAATCCTAAGAGGAGTAGGAAGAGGGGACCTGCAAGGGTGGACAGGAGAGTAGTCAGTGAGGGCAACCAATTGAATAGGTTTTCAAACCAATTTGCTTACTGGCTTCTAGCCTCTTCTCTGTCTTGAATCCTCTTTTTTACTAAGGCCAAACTATCCCTGATGACACCAGAATTGTTACTATAAAAACAGCATGTCTACCCCATTGTTACACATAATTCTCCTTGTTTCAGGAATAGCAGGTCAAGTCCTCTGTGATTCTGTAGCAGTACCTCTGCTAAAGAATCTAAGGAAGTTTCTAATGGGGACTATGAACTTTCTAATCCTTTCAGATCTAGATTAACTTGATTGCTTAGTACTTTTAAATTCTCTTCTCTTTTTATAAGAGCAGATGTCCCTACTGCTGCTGACCTAGCTATGCTTACCCCTACCAGAATTGGGACTAGAACGGGGGCACTTTTGGTCCTAGAGGGTAAGTTATCTGAATCTAGGCCCAAATGCTCACGGTTTCCTTCACCTGAATAAAAGACTTGAGGAATAATATGAGCAAGAACACACAAATCTGGGGCCTTTGCTAAGGTTACTGGATTTAAACATGGGGTTATTCCGGTTGTGCAAGCAAACCAAGTTCTATCTGGGGCTTTTAGGACATACTCTCCCTCTAGGTGGGAAAGAATCATGGTCCCAGAACAAGATTCTTTATAGGAGGAGTCCTGCAGTTTGAAATCTGGGGACTGAATGCAAAATCCTGTTCCTTGGAGGTCACCGAGAGTGAGCTTAGGTTCACAACTCCACTTACACAGAACTCATTGTTGTGCATGGGTGATATTCTGAACTTAGGTAGGGTCTTTTCTGTAAGTGCAGCTGGCTGCTATATAATAAAGAGGCACTAGATCTAGGCACAGCTAACAATCCCTGGTAGTGTTGGGGTTGGTTCTCTTCCTAGGCTGAAAAACTGCATTTAGCATATCAAAAATGGGCTTATAGAGAACCCTTAGGGGCTCTTCTTGGGCCTTGATACCCAGGACATCAGGGGTTTTGCTGGGGTCCAGGTCTGGGCTCCTGGGGCATGGGTAGATGATTTTGGAGGCTGGACCAGTTAGAGTTCAGGGTACAGGACCGGGTTAGGCCCAGTGGGGTTTTGTTCCTTGCTGGGCACAAATCTCTGTATGGTGAATAGTTTTGGGGTCTAGTCCTGTAACCCATAATCTGAATCTCCATGTATGTCCTACTGCATCCCTGTCCATCCTGTTTCCAGTTGAAAACTGTTATTGTTGCTGGGTTGCAAGTTTCTGGCCTATTACATGTCCCTTGTCTCTGGGTGAGAGATAAGTGAGGATTATTATTTTTCCAGGATTCCATGGTTTCACATCCCTATTCATCACAATGGTAACTTGCTCCTTTGTCACAGTTCCCTTTCCCTATGCTAAGGCAAGTATAACATTGCTTTTGTAGTTCTTTTTTGCATCTAAGGGTGCCACATTCAAACACCCTCCCTGTCCCCCTTGAACCCCAATACCAGTCCTCTGTGTGACAGACTGTAGGTAACTCATATGGGGAGGAGGTGAACAGGTTACATAAGTCAAAAGTAAAAACTGGCTGGCTGGGAGAGTGGACCCTGGCACTAATTCTCCATCTATTGGCAGGTCCACTCCCAGGTGTAATTTATCGGGGTGTAGGGATTTGCCATACACTATTTCCCCCAACCCATGAGCAACATTAAAAGTAGTTTTGGGCTCGGCGCCTGTGGCTCAAGTGGCTGGACACTGTGGCGCCTGTGGCTCAACACCTTAGGTGGAGGGTTCAAATCCAGCCCAGGCCCACCAAACAACAATGACTGCTGCAACCAAAAAATAGCTGGGCGTTGTGGCAGGCGCCTGTGATCCCAGCTACTTGGGAGGCTGAGGCAGGAGACTCGCTTGAGCCCAGGAGTTAGAGCTCTACCCAGGGGGGCAGCTTGAGGCTCTGTCTCAAAAAAAAAAAAAAAAAAAAGAAAAGGAAAGAAAGAAAGAAAGAAAGAAAGAAAGAAAGAAAGAAAGAAAGAAAGAAAGAAAAGAAAATTAGCTCTGAACAAGTCTTAGTTTTAATGGGTCCTCGGTTGGTCGAGTCCGCCATCTCTCTCCTGGGTCTGGG